AAGAGTGGTCAGGAATAGCCGAGGTCAGGATAGGCGGAGTTCACTCAGAGTCAGGATCAAGCAGAATCAGGAATCAAGCAGGAAGCAGACAGGATGCAGGTACAGGGGCTCATGGGAAACATTACACCAAGGCACTGATCACAGGCCTGGCCATTACTTAAATACACCTGCTGCAATCAGCCTCAGGTGATGGCTCATTGCAGGAGTGAGCCTCTGGTTGCTGAGAGCACCCGCTGGCCAGCCCTGGTACTGCAGCCCACACAAGGCAGGTGAGTTCCACCACCACTGGCAAGTCCATTCCTGACAGGAAGATACTTCTTGGAAATCAATACCTGCTAGTTCTAAATAAATAAGTTTTTTAACAAAATAGATGCATTAGAAAATGTCAAAAATTTTGTCAAAACTGACTCATAAAATATTTCAAAAAGGATCAATTACTTAAATATCTCTACCTAGAGCCATTGCAAAAGTTTGTTGTGTAAAACTGTACTTACCTTTTGCAAGCTGAAGATACAGTGCTGCAAGGTTCCGATAGCAATTTTCCTCCCTCCTTACTTGTCTAGTGTTGAAAGATGCTTTATTAAATCTTAAAGTCAGTGGGGTTAACACTACATTTTGACAGATGCCATTGTTGGAGAATGAGACAGAGAAACATCATTGAAATGGATCTTTTTTGACAACAACATAAAGGCATGTTTTCGAGAGACTTCCATCCTCTGCCCAAAATACAATGAATACCTTTAAGAGACAGTCCTTGAAATAACTGTAGATTTAGTGAGTTACTGTATCTTGTTATATGTTCTCCTTCCTTGCCTCAAACAACCCCCCCTTCCTCCTCCTGGGTTGTTCCATGGAGAGGCTGTGCAGCTCCCAGTGGTCGCTACCATGGACTTGGGGTAGATACATTTTAAAGGATTACTGTATTAAAAGAAAAAGAAGCATAAAAAATACTATACAGTAATTCTAATAAAAGGACCATCCTCACAGAACAATATTTCAGTTTTTGATAGAAGAAAGCTGGTTAACTTGCCCATTGGCTAAATCTTTCAAGAAAACTAGGTGAGACCTCTACATTAGAGTTAATTTCTACTCACCTGTTACAACTCTTATGTGAGATTTTACCTTTTCTCCTAGGAATTTGCATCTATTTGATAATGCATAGAATATAGCAGGGTGAGTAGAACTCCATGGCAGGGTTAAGTAGATGGGAAAAATATTCTTCATACAGGAGCCTCAAGGAGAAATGAGAAGCCAATAGTAAATGTTTCAGGTCACCGGTGAATATAACTGATATATCTTTTGTTGGCAAACGTATTTTTCAATGGCTCTCTATGGATGCTTATATAACTTGCATGAACAAGAAGTGTATTTCATTATTATCATAGAATGGTCTACCAGGCTCTGCAGCATATGGTATCCAAGTTGGTGTCTCTCATATTACACAGCTACCCAGTATTTGGCATCATAGAGGTTCACGGGGAGGGGCTCTTATTATATTTAACTATCTAGACCAGAGACGATGATCCTGGGGTGAGCCATGAAGTAGTTGCCTTGCTATCTTCCATGGTATATAGCTGGCTGTACTTGGGAGTATAGTGGATCATGGAGTGATATATACAGTAGTTGGCAGGGACGGACTGACAACTCATGGGGCCCCTGGGCAATAGGGGATCATGGGGCCCCTGTGTCTTTGCCCAAACTCAAAAAAGCCTTTGAAAAAGGTACCAGGGGCATCTCATGGGGCCCCCTACTGACCCCGGGCCCTTGGGCAGCGCCCGAGTTTCCAAATGGTCAGTCCGCCCCTGGTAGTTGGACTCCCATTGACTGCAGAACCCATGACCTATTCTGTGTTTTTGGTTTAGCAGGAACATGTAGACTATATATTTTATCTCTCCTAGTGAACAGTTATGGGGATGATGACGAACTAACCACATCTTCAGACAGTGATGAAGAGGTTTATAAACAATTTCAAATTTCAGTGTCTCGTTCCCAGAGCTTTCGCTCCACCGTATCTGAAAAGGCAACACAGGCCGGCTCTGACAGCAAGCCAAAGTTCAACCGCTTGCTATCAAACCATGAGGAGCTGAGCACAGAGGCTTCTGAATGTGAAGGTATCGCTAATGGAAGGAATGCTTTGAATCTCTGCAGCACTCTCACATTTGCGGAGCATGAATTTAATTATATTAATATTTTATTTTTTGCAACTGCACTTTTTCTTAATTTGATAATGTTTTGAACATTGCATACCTTGCTTCCCATATATGCCCAAACAATTATGTTAATTGCACTTGCATGGATATATTACTTTGTTAAAGTTGTATTAGATTATTTTATGTAATTAAGTGTAAAATATGTTGGCTTGATTTTCTTTTTACAATTCCTTTTTTTTTAATATTTGGCAGTATAAAGCACTACAGAAGAAGTTTAGATTTGCTTATTAGAATTAGAGCTGCATGTCTTTGTTTGCTCCTTTTGGTCATTTTGTTTGCTCTGAGATAATAGGTGATACCTTGTTTCAAAATATAAAAAAGAATGCATTTATTCTTTTGTTTTATCTACTATCTATTTTGCCCCCAGTTTGATAGACAATGTCCACTTTTGATAAATTGCTTTCTAGTTATGAAACTTGGGGCCGTGTTTTTGATATGAAAGCCATAATGTTGTACAAGCAGCCATACATTGAAATATTTAGAAAGCATATATATGATACCATCTGCCAATACCATTAAGACAGCACTTTTGTTTTGTCAAGTCCTGTCTATAACATAGTTTTATTACCTGGTGATCCTGGTTGCAGAATCTTTGATTTTCACCCAAAAGAGTGAAAACACTCTTTTTTTTATAATGACATCACAGCAGTGTTGTGACCCTTTGCCGATGCTGTAGCTGCTTGGAATACAACAATACGCAATAAGTTAAAGTGAAATTAAACCCTTAGTGGTTTTTAGTTCAACACATTGAGCACAATAAAATAACATTCCCCCCAGTAAACTAATTGTTACGTATAATTCTAACTCCAGCACTTGCAGTTTACAACTTTCAGTGTTGGCTCCTGCTTTCTTAGTCCTGCTACCCTGAATTTCCTGTTTTTACAGGAAAGAGTTAACAGTTCACAGTGCAGCCTGAAGTTAATCTGTTAGTTTAGAGAAGGAAAGGGGGAAGAGGAGGGAGAAGCACAGAGTGCCTTGCCTCTTCTATGCTACAGGGCTGTCTGTTTCTATTGATGCACAATTTGTAAGAAGACACACCTCTAGTTCCTGCATATAGGGGTGGCTCCATATGATGCTGCTAGAAAAAAGGAGCCACCCTGAAACAGGAAATCCGAGGCAGTGGTCATGGCACCAGCATAACCACTTCAAGTCCAGACACATTCACCCCATTCAAGTCTAGGCCAAATTTTAGCTTTCATCACTCACGCTTTGAATGCTAATTACTCAGGTATGTAACACTGTACCCAAATTAAATTTTATAATTTTTTTGAGACAGTTTTATTGTTAATTTTTTGTTATATGAAGTAAATGAAAAAGAATAAAATGTTTTTAAAAAATGTTTTTTCTTATAAAATTTATCAAATAAATAATCTTTTTTTAAAAAATCTAGGCCAAAATGTATTTTGCTACCTTTTTTTTGTTAAAAAACAACCCAAATCAGTATACAGAAAAAATTATAATTAAAAAAAAATTCTGCAACCATTGAGTAATACTATGAGAGCTGATTGGTCACAGCTTATACATGCACCCACATAGGCACTACTACTGTTCGGTCATGTATGTGTGAATGGGCTGGATGGGAAGAGGTTAAACTGGAACATAGCCAAGGGTTGAAAGATGAAGAATCTGCATACTCAGTACATGATTAAAGTGGTTCCAAAGTCTTAAGGTTTTTTTTTTATGCTCATGCATTCTATGCTTGAAGGTAAAAAAACCTTCTGTGTGTAGCAGCCCCCCCCCCCCCCAACACTTACCTGAGCCCCCTCTTGATCCAGAGATGTCCAGGAGAGCCTCGGTTCTTTGGGGACTCTCACTCCTGACTGGCTTCTGCTGCTGTCAATCATAGCCAATGAGCTAATCAGGAGAGCCTGGGCCAAGCCACGGCTATGTGTGTGAATGGACACACAGAGAAGTGGCTCAGGAGTGCACCTGCTCGGGTGTCCCCACAAGCTATTTGCTATGGGGGCATCCGAGAGGAAAGAGGGTCCAGGAGTGCCAGCGGGAGGCCCAAGAAGAGGAGGATCTGGGCTGATCTGTGCAAAACCATTACACAGAACAGGTAATTTATAACATGTTTGTTATGTTTAAGAAAGAAAACAAAACTTTAGTATCACTTTAAATACACTTCTGAAGGAGATTTAAAAACTGAGAGTTTAATGTCACTTTAAGGAGTAAGCGAGGCTTCTGGCATTGTCATCACTAATGGCCTTCCTTTACTCTGCCTAGCAGGGACATGTAGGTTTAACAGCAGCTTGTGCATCAAAAATGAATGCTGTGCAATGTCTTCTCAATCATGCCTACCTTTTTTTACATCTAGTTGTGCCTGGCTTGCACACAACATTTTATACTCAAAAAAACAGGCAAAAAAACTATTGTTTTTACGTATTGAACAAGTTGGTTGGCATTACTTGGGTGATTATAATGCTGACTGCAAAAAACAAAACAAAAACAAAACATGGGTGCTTCTGCCGTAGACCTTTGGTGACTGCCAGATTTCCTGCATAGAAACATTATGTGACTAAGCTTAATGGTAAGAGTAGATGTAGGATTCAAAATCAACATTGTATTTGGCTGGTGAGACGGACACAAATTGATTTTTAATTCATCATAGCGTACATCTGCAATTGAAAACTCTTCCTAAAGTTTACCAATCCCTTTAATGGTATGTTGGAGCATGGTGGACATTAGGAGAGGACAGGAACTAAAAACACAGTTGTGAAATAGGACCACCACTTTGTTCAAATGTACAATATTCTAATATGATGTGCCATAATTATGTTGTCTTCTTAGATTTGGATGTTATTAGTTACCAGTCATATAATGAAGATGGTGTATTGGTTCATTCCCGTGCGGCATCAGAGGCTAGTGAACTACAGGATGCTAGACAGGAGATTGGGTCCATCTCTAGCAGAAACCAACAAATTTTTTTGTAGATGGTCAGGAAATGGAGACTGGCTTTAGCAACAATGGATTTGAAGATCACGATGGTACAGACAGTTCGCCTGCATTGAGCCCAGAGGTAAGACATCAGATTCCTGTTCATGCATCAACATACTGTATAATAGATCATACAGGGCTAATGGATCGTATGGGTAGTCAGTTGTTACAATCGATGAATAATTGATGGAATCTTTAGAATCCTTTCCTGAGACAATCAATGAAGCTTCATTGCTGACATCTCCTTCTGGACATTCTACTTGCCTGACTGTCATGCTGACCCGCTACCCACATGGAAGATAAATATATTTGAAATATATTTTAAAAACATATGAAAAATATTTTTCAAAATATATATTTTTTTAAATATACTCTGCAGATTTTTTCTAGCATATAAAAAAGTAACGTTAACATATACAGTATTTTTACATATATTTGTAAATGCATAGACATACAGTATATTTGAAATGTAATTAAATATATTTTTCATATTTTGTAACAAAAATGCATTCAACATACAGTGTGTATATATATACAGTGGGGCAAAAAAGTATTTAGTCAGCCACCAATTGTGCAAGTTCTCCCACTTAAAAAGATGAGAGAGGCCTGTAATTGGCATCATAGGTAGAACCTCAACTATGAGAGACAAAATGAGAAAAAAAATACAGACAATCACATTGGCTGATTTGGAAAGAATTTATTTGCAAATTATGGTGGAAAATAAGTATTTGGTCACCTACAAACAAGCAAGATTTCTGGCTCTCACAGACCTGTACCTTCTTTTTTTAAGAGGCTCCTCTGTCCTGCACTCATTACCTGTATCAATGGCACCTGTTTGAACTTGTTATCAGTATAAAAGACACCTGTCCAAAACCTCAAACAGTCACACTCCAAACTCCACTATGGTGAAGACCAAAGAGCTGTCGAAGGACACCAGAAACAAAATTGCAGACCTGCACCAGGCTGGGAAGACTGAATCTGCAATAGGCAAGCAGCTTGGTGTGAACAAATCAACTGTGGGAGCAATAATTAGAAAATGGAAGACATACAAGACCACTGATAATCTCCCTCGATCTTGGGCTCCACGCAAGATCTCACCCCGTGGGGTCAAAATGATCACAAGAACGGTGAGCAAAAATCCCAGGACCACACGGGGGGACCTAGTGAATGACCTGCAGAGAGCTGGGACCAACGTAACAAAGGCTACCATCAGTAACACACTACGCCGCCAGGGACTCAGATCCTGCAGTGCCAGACGTGTCCCCCTGCTTAATCCAGTACATGTCCAGGCCCGTCTGAAGTTTGCTAGAGAGCATTTGGATGATCCAGAAGAGGATTGGGAGAATGTCATATGGTCAGATGAAACCAAAATAGAACTGTTTGGTAGAAACACAACTCGTCGTGTTAGGAGGAGAGAGAATGCTAAGTTGCATCCAAAGAACACCATACCTACTGTGAAGCATGGGGGTGGCAACATCATGCTTTGGGGCTGTTTCTCCACAAAGGGACCAGGACGACTGATCCATGTACAGGACAGAATGAATGAGGCCATGTATCGTCAGATTTTGAGTGCAAACCTCCTTCCATCAGCAAGGGCATTGAAGATGAAACGTGGCTGGGTCTTCCAACATGACAATGATCCCAAACATACCACCCGGGCAACGAAGGAGTGGCTTTGTAAGAAACATTTCAAGGTCCTGGAGTGGCCTAGCGAGTCTCCAGATCTCAACCCCATAGAAAACCTTTGGAGGGAGTTGAAAGTCTGTGTTGCCCAGCGACAGCCCCAAAACATCACTGCTCTAGAGGAGATCTGCATGGAGGAATGGGCCAACATACCAGCAACAGTGTGTGCCAACCTTGTGAAGACTTACAGGAAACATTTGACCTCTGTCATTGCCAACAAAGGATAAATAACAAAGTATTGAGATGAACTTTTGATATTGACCAAATACTTATTTTCCACCATAATTTGCAAATAAATTCTTTCCAAATCAGCCAATGTGATTGTCTGGATTTTTTCTCTCATTTTGTCTCTCATAGTTGAGGTCTACCTATGATGCCAATTACAGGCCTCTCTCATCTTTTTAAGTGGGAGAACTTGCACAATTGGTGGCTGACTAAATACTTTTTTGCCTCACTGTATATATATATATATATATATATATATATATATATATATATATATATACATATATATACTATATGTCTTTAAAAATACAAATCTACATTTTTGAAATGCATTTACAAATATATGTAAAAATACTGGATATGTTAACATTACTTTTTTATATGTTAAAAAAAATCAGAAGACTATATTTAAAAAATATATATTTTTAAAAATGTTTTTCATATATTTTGTACTATATAAAAAATGAAATTCAACATGTATATATATATATATATATATATATATATTTTTTTATTGAAATATATTTTGAAATATATTGAATATGGCCAAAATTGTAGTATTTCAAATATATGGCAATATATTTGGGAAGAATATTTTTTAAATATATTTCAAATATATTTTTCTTCCATGTGGGTAGCTTCATTACTTTGCGTCATTAACCCACAATGTGTATGTAGATAGTGGCTTATGACTTTTCTAGCCAGAGAGTCAGCATAATAGGCAGGAGGCTTACATTTTCAGATAAAAGCCAGCAGTGGCAGCCTCATTTCTCTAGGAAATATTTCAATTGTAATGTCTTGGATTCCTGCAAAATATTATGGGGTTGATTTACTAAGGGAATATAGCAGGTTCACTTTGCAAAGTTAACTTGCATATAACGTGGTGAATGAGGACATGCTGTGCTGACTTTAATCTTCCACTCATGCGTCATCAAAAATTCTGTTTTTTAACATTTTCCTTGCATGTGAATGGATATTCTTTGCAAAGTGAACATACTCTGCTCCATCATCTCCAGAGTTGCACTGCATGTGCTTTTCTTAGATGTTACCTAGTTGAAAGTATGGTCTTTGTGAGCACACACTATGACCTCCTCCTAAGAATACCATTTGCCTGGCTATCTGTAGCCTAAATACTTTAACGTATATATATCTAAACCCAAAACCATCTGCGTTAGCTGATTGGAAAACGGAAGTGAATAAAACCATGGAAGCAGAATGTTGGGTGCATGCTGTTAAGAACCAACTTGATCGCTTTGATGACATATAGGTGTCCATTTATGAACCAGCAGTAATAGATCGCTGCTCAGTTCTCCGGCATTCTCGGAGAACACAGTTCTCCTGTGAATGCAGTTTATGAAGCAGTTCTCCAAACGAAGGGAGAACGGTCTCCAAACGCTGGAGAACGGTCTACAAACTCTGGAAAACGGCTGATTTTACTATAATCTTGCGAGATTACAGTAAAAGATCAGTTTACTAAACAGAGGTAAATTATCTCTGCTTAGTTTGCGGTCCCTCTGATTCTCCAGCTCTGAGCTGGAGAATCTGGAGGGGGAACACAGATCTCCAGCGAAGGGCTGACATGATCTCCTGGGTGTCATAAACTGTGAATGACCAGAGAATAGCTGAGATCCGTTGAATCGCAGCTATTCTCTGTGTCATAAAAGGACACCATAGTCAGGATGGATGTATTATTCTTATGAAATCCCAGATGACTGAACACACAGCACTTAAAAAAGTGAGTGGAACTCTGCTTTAAGATAAAAACCTTGTGTACCAAAGGACCCCACCTAAGACTTCCCTTATACTTACCTGAGTCCTATCTCGATCCAGCAATGTGCCTGAGAGTCCTTGCCTTCCTCACAGGGAAGATTGATAGCTCGTGTTAATTAAATCCAGTGATGAGTGAACAGGGGCAGGGCTGAGCCTTGCTATCTGTGTCAATAGACACAGGCAGCAGAGCTCAGGAGCAAGTGGAGGAGCCGCGAGAGCTGGCAGGGGACCCCAGAATAGGAGGACTGGGGCTGCTCTGTGCAAAACCATTGCACAGAGCAAGTAAGTATAATATGTTTGTTATTTTAATTAAAAAAAATAAATAAATGGAAGCTTCAGTATCCCTTTAAGTCACTGACCATAAGCAAGGATGTGAATCAGAAATTGTTTTATCACTTGTCCAAAGGAAAGGGATGGCATTCAAAGTACAAGTAATAACTCATAAATTTGATTCAATTAAAGAAAAGGTTGTGTTTAATTAAGTATATTTCAAGTATGAGTTTGGCTTTAAACCTAATGTAAGTACTGGCTGCCATGACAATCTATGCATCTTAGGTAGGTATACACAATATCCACTTCGAAACTCAGTCCTGGTTTTCATTTTCAACCATACCCTCATGACACCCTCAACTTCATTATCATTACCATTTGTAATCTTAGAGAATCATTTATTCTTATTTTTAATCTCATGTAACCCTCAAGTTTTCATGCTATGTTCCATCATGATTACATATTTATTTATTTATTACAGGTACTTATATAGCGCTGTCAATTTTACGCAGAGCTTTTACATTCACATCAGTCCCTAACCCTCAAGGGGTGTACAATCTAAGGTCCCTAACTCACATTCATACATACACATACTAGGGCCAATTTAGACAGGAGCCAATTCACCTACCAGCATGTCTTTGGAGTGTGGAAGGAAACCGGGAGTACCTGGAGGAAACCCACGCAGGCACAAGGAGAGCATGCAAACTCCAGGCGGGTGGTGCCGTAGTTGGTATTCGAACCAAGGACATATATAATTTTATATTTGTCATCCTCATATTGTCACATTGCCATATAATTAAGCTGTGTTTTACTATGACTATGTGCACAAGATCTAATGTTACTTAGGGGAATTGACTAAAATTTGCGAACTGAATCTGGAGCAGCTGTGGAAGCAACTAGATATGAGCGCCATGTTTAGTGTGAACACAAGTTCAGTTCAGGCTGTACTTTGGCTGTTCGTCTGAATGCCGGACTTTATACTCATTTGGCAGTAGACAAATTTTGTGTAGTAGCTGTATTTGTATTGCTACTACAGTATATATTCTGATTCCTTGTCAGCGATTGCTAACAAACTTGCGGGTGCCTTCAGCTGCCAGCTCCCTAGTGACCAGTCATGTCACACAGCCCTATTCATTTACTGGCCAGGAATCCCAAGCCATATGAACAAAGAGTCAGGGTTGGTGTGAAATCACTGATCAAATGAGAAATGACATTGATCATATATGACTGTGGCCATATTTGGTAAATTACATCACCTTGGAGACCCCCCACCTCTTTGTTTTCTTTTATCGGTGGGGCCCCAGGAGATATAATTTTGCATGAGTCAGTGATACAAATAAATCCATCAGTCAGTGGCACTTTATTTTCTTTTGACGGACACTGTTCAACATGGTTGACATGATTGATGGTGGATTTACGCATTTTTTTTATTTTTTAATAAAGTATTTGTTAAAAACTCTGAAGCTTTTGACCAAATTGTTGGGGATTATTAAAATTGTGCACATCAGAGGCTTTCTTCACATTCATGAGGATTTGACATTTCTTATTCAAGTAGTGCCTGAATCTTGTTTGAGTTAGATATCAGACAATTTTCTTTCTGCAGCTTTACAGTTGCACTGTGTTCAATAGTCAGTCTTGGTAGAAGATATAAGATCCAATTTTTTTTCGAGCAGTGATCATGTTTGCTCTGTATTTGTTAATTCCACAGCTTTTTTCTTGATTAGCTACCATTAATTAAAAACAGCAGATCATGAAGATACAAGTTCTTGGAAAAGATGATCCCTTAAGCCAAACTTCCCTTTTGAAACATGAACCATCTCACCATTTTAGTTTAATGAACAAGCTGCCCTCAGATCATGCTAACATATAATCCTATTTAGTCTACTTTTACTAAAGATAATGGAAACCATAGGAACCATTACATCATTAATCTGATGCCTGCTTTAAACAAAGTACGTTCAAACATAATACTTTAATGTAAGTGAGATGATCTTTCACTGATAAATTATTTTAAGACTTATTTGTCCTGTCCTACAGTTTCTTAGAATGTTTGTTTCAGTCCGATTTCCAATAATCCACTGATCGTCAAATTGTCTGATTACAAGCTGATGATCTGATATGCTTTACAACAGAATGTACATTAGGTATTTAGAGAGGGGGCACAGGCACATATTCAAGCAAACATATATTTTTCCTTGTAAAAAGTATTGCTTACAGTAGCTGTCATACAGTGGCAGATATTTATTCTGTTCCCTTTTTGTGTGTGCCGTTATAGTTTTGGTGCTGTTCATGTGCTTAAAGTTTTAAAATAAACATGGTACAAATTTAAAAGAATTTCATTTTGTGCTGGAATATTATAAATATGTATATAGTTTTGCCCACTTCTCAGCCTCTAACAGTATACCAAATGAAACCTCTATATGTCTAATCTAAATATTAGGTGGGTAAATTAGTTATAGAGGTAAAGTTAACTGACACAGAATGACTGTCAAGGATCAGGATATGACCAGAGATGTGTGGACTGACTCAGGGAATAGCAGACTGCAGGAATGATGTAATATAATTTATTACAAGCATATAACAATACACAGAAACACACCGTGCAACCAAAAACCAAACCTTAAACTAATAACTAGATGCTCAGGAACACAGGCTCAACACAGGATCAATTGGGTGGATAAGGTACAAAAGGAGCAGGCAGGAGAATGGTCAGGAATAGCCGGGGTCAGTGCAGGCAGAGTTCTATCAGAGTCATGCAGGGGAATCAGGCAGGTAGACAACAGGATGCAGATACAGGGCTCATGTGAAAACACAAAGGCACTGATTGCAGGCCTGGTACTGCTTAAATACACCTCCTGCAATCAGCCTCAGGTGATGGCTTGATTGCAGGATGTGAGATCCTGGCTGCTGAAAGCACCCGCTGGCAAGCACCGGTACTGCAGCCCACACAGCAGGTGAGCCCCAGCACCACCAGCAGTGAGTCCTTTCCTGACAGTACCCCCCCCCCTCAAGGAGCGGCCTCAGGACGCTCCAAACAATCCTTAATAGCCAAAAAGTTCCACCACCCGGGTCAGGTAACTGGCTGGATATCCCACTGCCTGAGTCAAGCGAATGGCTGGGTTTCCTGCTGGTAGACCTATCTTTTTGCAGGAGACCGCAGGAAGGCAGGTTGCTGGACACAGGATTTCCAGAAGCAGGCTGGGAATCAGGGCCTGGCACATCAGGCTGGGCAGCGAGTGGAGGCACATCAGGCTGGGCAGCAGGCACCGGGTCATCCGGCTAGGCAGCAGGCACCGGGTCATCAGGCTAGGCAGCAGGCACCGGGTCATCAGGCTGGGCAGCAGGCACCGGGTCATCAGGCTGGACAATAGGCATCGGGTCATCAGGTGGGATAACAGAAGGTGGGTTCTCAGACAGCAGGCTGACCGATTTGGATACTGGCAGAATGGTACTGGTTGGAAAGAATTTTTGCTTCTTCTTGGGTTTAGTTACTGAAGCACTGCAAGTAAATGCAGGGCTGTAAACGGAGGGAGCAGCTGAAGACAGAGAAGAGCTGAAGGATGAAAAAGAGGAGGGAGCAGTTGCTATAGAGGACTTCTTTACAGGATTAAAGGCGGGGTAGGTGCAGCGAGTGGGAACAGGGTACTGACATGGGGTTGATAGCAGGGCATACTGGGCTGTAACTGGGGGTGCTGTGGGGAATGAAGGAAGAGAGCTTGGAGAAGATGAATGATTAGAAGCGGGACTGGATTGTTGCAAGCTGACTGAAGCTGGGTATAACAAATCTGACCATGTCTGTAATACCGGTTGAACAAAGCTCAGCTTACACATAGCCTGTCTGACCAAAGACTGCACTGCATTTATACAATCCACAAGCACATGTGGTGGACATGCTGAATAATGCTCAAAGAAGCAATCCGGATCATCATCCAACAACCATACCAGTGACTCTACCTGATCTGTATTGAATGGCAGAGAAAAGTCATCCTTGCTTTCAGGGGTACTAGATAAAGCCAACTCAGTACAAGCCTGGATCAATGGCTGCACCTCAGAAAAACACCGTGCCCTGATCTACTAGGGAATGAGCAACCCGCATGCACTCTAGCAGCTGATCCCTGGCATACTCCTTCAGAATCTTAAAACTGTATTCTCTGTCTTCTATTACTAGCAGAGACAAGTACACAACCTCCTCCGGATGCATCCTTCACAAATAACAAGCCAAGATGGCTTCTCTGTGCAGCCACTTCTGGTCAGGACTGGCCTTGGTGTTATGTCAAGGATCAGGATATGACCAGAGATGTGTGGACTGACAGGGAATAGCAGACTGCAGGAATGATGTAATAATATAATTTATTACAAGCTTACACCAATACACAGAAACTCACCGTGCAACCAAAAACCAAACCTTAAACTAATAACTAAATGCTCAGGAACACAGGCGTAGACAGAGCTGGAGAAGTAGAATGGTCAGGCAGGCCGGGTCAGGATCAATTGGGTGGATAAGGTACAAAAGGAGCAGGCAGGAGAATGGTCAGGAATAGCTGGGGTCAGTGCAGGCGGAATTCTATCAGAGTCAGAGTCAAGTAGGGGTATCAGGCAGGTAGACAACAGGATGCAGAAACAGGGGCTCATGGGAAAACACCAAGGCACTGATTGCAGGCCTGGTACTGCTTAAATACACCTCCTGCAATCGGCCTCAGGTGATGGCTTGATTGCAGGAGGTGAGATCCTGGCTGCTGAAAGCACCCGCTGGCAAGCCCCAGCACCACTAGCGGTGAGTCCTTTCCTGACAGTGACGCTGCTAAATCTGGTCTGAGCATCTAATTTGTTTTGGTTTTGTTTTTTACCATTTCATAATATATGTATTTTTGATACTATAATCATAACTGGCAATTAGAGTATCGACCTGAAGAACACCAGGTTGGAGTGGCCTCTGCTGAAAACATATTTTTTTGAATAAAGCCCTCTTCTTGCAGTTACAGCAGTTATGCAGGGTCTAAATATGACTCTGCAGTCCTATAGGCACCAGAGGCCCCAAAGTTGGATGCAGTGCTCAGTATCAGAGATGGTCAGACACACCTCCTCCTTTTCCTCCCCAGTCTATGTCTTCTGCACTGAGAGGTGCGAGTGTTATTCAGTTATGTCAGCACAGAGCACTGGAGCAAGATGAGAGAGCATTTTCACTGAGAGAAAAAAAAATGTATCTTTAGACATTTCCAAACAAAACAGTCAGCAACTATGCAGATACAGTATTATAAAGAACTGTAAAGATGAAAGTCCATAATACCACTGACTACACTATTATAATTGACTCACGTCCTTTATCATTATTTACAAACTGTTCTTTCTGAACACTATACCGTATCTTTGCCTTTAGGAACAAGGAGAAGGTAGCCTTGAACCTTGTGCAGGCCATGTGCCAATTTCCAAATGTGGCGACCTGGACATTGCCCTTGATTACAAATCTTCCAGCCAAAAGCTGACTCTAACAGTTGTGGAAGCCAAAGATATTCCTGATAAGGATCGTAGTGGAGTAAGCACATGGCAAGTCCATGTTGTCCTACTGCCAAGCAAAAAGCAAAGAGGAAAAACCGCTGCACAAAAAGGCTCTAAGCCTGTCTTTAATGAGACCTTCACATTCAACAAGCTTGAAATGGAGGAGCTGGCCAACCATGCCATTCGATCCGTTTGTATGCTGTACAGAATAGGATCCATGAAAGGATGATGGGTGAAAAGCTCTTTTCATTGAAGAATATTAGCTCTGATGGGGAAATCAGAAGGACGTTGGTCTTAGAGCCCAGGAGCAACTTAAGTGTAAGTATCGGGCTTTGGTTAAATATGGGTTTTTGCATGTACACAGTTTGAATTAAATGTGCTGGCAAAATGTACTAAAGCCTGTGGCAGCAAAATAATAAAGGTACACATTTATGAGCTTGCTTTGGTGGACCTACTTGAGTAAAAATTGTATACCAAAAAACAAAAGTCCATCAGGTACAACCTGTTCAGCTTCCCATTTTTGTTTATCCAGAATAAGTCACAAATGGGCTCAGTAAAATTTGTGTTTTGGCCACCATCTTCTCTTTCCAGCTAATGACCGTTTTGTGCGAACTATGCTTTTTCAAGGGACAGGTTTTTCAAACATATGGGTTGTTGGCTGGATTGTTTTTGGTGCTGATTTATAGAACTAAGTGTATAAAAAGCCAAGTACCATATTCTTTTAACTATTTTGAAAAAGGAGTCAATATTGTAGCTGTTCAGGAGATTAGCGAGACTGAACATAGAGGAAGTCGAAGGAATCTCTTGAGGCATCCTTTATTGCTGGACTGTCTGACTGGAGTGCCCCTCTGCAAAACTGTCAGTTCCACACAGTCTTAACTGTTGTGGACATATATAATGTAAGGAAGAGGATGGCTTAGTATACCAATGGAACTTTTGCCAAGCTCCAGTAATAAACCTGTAGGCCTAACCAGTGTACCCAAGATACACAGATACCTAACCATTTTCTGCCCACCCCGGCATCCCTTTAAAAAGTTCTGAATGCCTGGTGGAGAGGAAAGATGTCATAGTGATTGTCACAGTGGTCACATGATCGAGAGCTGGTCTTATCTGCTGCCAATCTTTAGCAGAGACCATGAGCTCTCTTTCAGAGCTCATACTCTGTGCTGGGAGCTTGTAGTGAGCACGCTCTAAGCACAGAGACATCAGCCTCCAACGACACATATGTGTGGCGTGTGGGCATTAAAGCCCACCTTTTAGCCACAGCACACATGCATTAGATGGAAATAAAAGTATTGAACTTTCTATATTGTAAAATTTGACTGATCACAGTAAGAAGGCAATTTACAGCAATGGCGCCGCATATGTTGCAGATTATACCATTCTTTAGGCAGGAGAGGACACTCTTTATGCACAAGGCACTTTCCAATAGTAATATATCAGACATTTACATACCACAGAATGCCAAAGGAGTACTTCCTTAGGAGGGGCTATGATACTGCTTGTTCAAACTTGCGATCCTCAAATGTCCTTGTAGACATACAGCTGCCAGTGGGAGACTGTTCCAGGAAGCTGACAGAGAAGATACCCTGTAAGGGGAAACATACTCTTTCCCTTCTTGACTAGTACCTCTCTCTACTGCTACTCTTTTTTTCTCTCTTTCTAATGAACAGGGGCTCTGTCCCTATCTTACTCCCACACTGCGGGCACACTGAATGACATAAAATATCTTATTTATATTATTCTGTTTCAAGGTGGCTGCCTAAATCTCATAGGATTTCAGTATCCAGTAAGATATGCTTTCCTACCCAAGATGGCTCCCTGAAGCACATAGCAGGGCACAATTAGTCCTCAATAGGCTTCTGGGAACCTGAAGAAACAACACTGTGCCACCTTTAGGTTAGACCTTATTCATTGTAGACAACATCCAACTGATAAACAGGAGCAGGAAATCAGCACCACAGTCTGGAATCTTGATAAGCAGTAAACAAAATCACACTCTAGGCCAACAACCTGCTAGCAATCCCTTTGTACCACCGACAGTATCAGTAGGGAAGGAAAATGTAACAACACATCTACTTCTACAGCATTACTCCTTCATTAGAATGAGTATGAGTAGCCATAGAAACATGTCAGTTGTTCCTTTTCCCTCTCTAGCGCTTCTGCCCCTGGTGAGTTGCTGGCAACAAAAGGACTACTAGTAAGTTTTTGCCAACAATGGGATAACTACTGTGTCATAGTTCTTTTTGAAATCCATTAAAGTCTTTAGAAAACCAACTGTTGTTTTAATTTCTGATAGAACAGGGCATGTACAAAGCCTATGTCAGCCTTTTTTGCATTCTTTGTTTGGGGAAAGTTCTCTTTACTTCTTGTTCTTACAAGATATAGGAGTAAATGTCTCCAAAGTTAAGGAAATTCCCTCTTAGAAAATTGCCACCAGAACAAATGTCCCTTTTTAGAATTTTTTTTTTTCTTGTGCTGGTGGCAAATAAAAATTTTGCATTTCCCTCCCCTTCAGTCCCAGTGACAATAGTCACCTGGACTAATAGATAAAGTGTCCCTAATGAGATCATAAATCGAAATAAAACCTGACAGAGGTTACTCGTCATCACTCAATCCAAAAGAAAAAACAAGTTAGGGCTTTGGATGCACATTATACCAGTCTGTCCACCGGTTGTACAATACCTATACAATTCTGGAGAGTCATCAAAATACAGTTCTGGAGAGCCCTCAATACCTACCTCTATTTCCTGTGTTCTGGCTTACTTACAGTATACATGTTTGATCACTGAACACAGGGAATGTGTCTGTGAAGATTCTCATTAATCCTGGTCATGGTATACAGTAGCTCAACCAATTTTCAATCCTTTTACTCCAGAGAAACCCTTGAAATAATTTTCTGGTCTTGATGAACCCCTGCTAAAACTATTATACCTACAATTAACTTTACAAGAATTTGGTGTACCTAAAGTATTTGACACCCAGGGCAGATCATTTTTTAACGTCCGCCTGTTGTATTCCATAATATTGTTTCTGTAGTAATCATGAAATAAAATTAAGTGTAGAGCTACTCCAGTAAGAGCTACAAGAATACTGTCCAGGTCTTCCCCAAATATTTTGCCCTGCAGCCAGGCACATAGGATCATTCACTAGTTTCTTTAATGACCAGTGTAGGGGTATTATTTTTGTTGTTTTTATTTATTTAGAACTTGGATAGGGATGGGGAATTAGGTGGGATACTTCAAAAATGGAAAACATGTACAGTTGAGGATTTTAGGTATTCTTTTGGATAAGCTATAACGAAGGTTGTGCTTGAAGCAAACAGTAGACTTCAGTTTTAAGACAGCAGTGATAATAGTAGTAGCGAGCTTGAGCAGTGTCCCTTGTAGTAGAAGGTAATGGACAAAGTTCTTCGGAACACCAGCTGGTGTCCCCTGTAGCCTAGACCCACAGCTGACCTAGCACCAGAGGAGATTAAGTAGGACACAGTCTCTAAGATCCTTTAGGGGTGTCTGTACTCACATGGTCCAAAAGCAGATTGTTGCTTTCTTCCTTGATACCAGGCCAGATCCTCAGTAGATGGTCCCTCAGTCAGCTTTAGTAGAACCGGGGTCTCAGGATTAAGGCCCTCAGGTGGCCAATATGAGGCAACACGGCAGTAGCAATGTGTTCTCTCTGGGACTGGAACAATCTTGGACTTAATCATCCAGTGCTTATCTGTTCCTGTCCAAAATTTATGACGCTGGCCAGCTTGTGGAATGTGCGCACATAAAGAAACTCACACTGACACCTTTGGTCTGTGAAAACTTCTCTCTAATTTATTGAAATGAAACCGTGAGCTTATATATGAAAAATGATGCGAACATCACGTGATGATAACAGCATAAGCATTATATTAGTCTTTGATTGGTCACTTTACACGAAAACAATCTCCGTCATGGTATAGGTGTGATCTTCTTCAGTCTTATCTTAAAAAGAGAAAAACATTCTTTTGTCTTCCAAATCACACGATGGGAGGGGGTCTGTTCCTGTGAGCAAATATTTCTTAAGCAAGGATTTCTTAAAGTACCACAAAGCCCCAGCAGGCACACAAAAATATTCACACAACATATGTATTAAAGTATAAAAGTAAATATTTATAAAACTTATAGAAATAGCGTATATATATATATATATTCAATAGGAAACGAAATAGGCATTTTACCAAATCCATCACAGTCCCCCCTTAAAATGACTATTTTACTCTGTCCCTATAAAAGCCTAGCTCATCTGTCCTTATGTACCTTGGAACTCTTTTGTGCTGTACGTTAGACAAGTGATGACTATTTCATCACCTCCCTTGCCACAGACTTTGTACATAAGGAAGTCAGATGCTATCCCTACAAAATTGTGAGATTACTATTGGCGGGGAGGGACCGTAATGGGGTGTAAGGTTTTTCTTCATCCATCATATGGGGATCCTCTTGGTCCTGGTTCAGGAAGGTAGGTGTTCTGTTGTCTACAGCTTTGCTTATTAACTTCTTTACAAATGGTAGAATACAACATACAATCAGAGCTAAAAGAACTAGAATTATTAGTACAGTTACCCCTATTTGGGCGAGCACTTTTTTCCACCCACTCATCCAGCTAAAATATTGATCCCACGGGTCTGAGATACCTGAGTTCTTCTTCAGCTCCACTGACAGATCTTCCAATTTATTTATACCCAGAGTAACCTTACCATTCGGGCCAGTATTGTCAGGAATATATGTACAATGTTCCGGTTCCTTCTATCATTTTACAGACACCTCCTTTTTCTGCTAAAATCATGTCTAGAGCCATCCTATTCTGGAATGTCATGTAGGATGTAGGGGCTAACTGGTCAACGATTCCTTGAAGGGCATCCCTGGTGTAATTCACAAACCTCTGTTGGTTGTAGTATATGTAATTTATCTAATCTACATTTTTATTAACAGTTATCATGGGAATCAGGGATTCAAAACCTGCTTTACTTGGTCTTTGGCTTTAAATTTATTAGACACCCCCCTTGGGACTCCAATGGCATCTATATACACATGTGGGTCAAAACTACCAGAAGGAGCTTTTTGTTTCCTCCTACGGCCAGGCGTTGGGTCAGGGGTATTCTCTGCTAGGATGTGGAGAGGCATAATGGCCTTTACAAGGGCATACTCACCAGTCCAAATCCCTTCCAATCTTATTCTAATCTTTTGGTCCCCAGTAATCATCCATGACACATATGTATACCTGGTCACTACTATCAGAACATGCTCGTTGTGTCAAGATCATATAGATTACGGTCATAGCACCACATGGGATCT